TGCCTCATTGTCTAGTTTCCATCACCTCCCAAGAATGCCACCCTGTGGGGACCAAGGCTTCAATGGACAAGACAATCTAATTTGAACCACATTATGGGACCTCTCAATAGTATTTTGTCAATTTATTATTTGAAAATAAAAATGATATTATCATCTTGAAGCAATCCTTCAGAGGAAGATGAGAATGACTAAAAACACTAAGAACTCAGGATACTGGATTCTGCTGGATCAAGTTGAAAATCTTACATGATGATTGAGAAATGCTATGAATTTTAGACCACCTAGCATGTATTGTAAATAATACATGCACTCACTTCTCTATCCAAAGTGTAAATTTTTTACTTGTAATTAGCATAATTTATTCAAATTTCCATTTCTATCAATAAAAGTGCCCAATTTCTCTCTCTCTCTGTCAACTACTGAGTAAATTTGTTCACAGTTGTTCAAAACAAAAAATTATGTAACAAAGGATGGTGAGTGAAGATACAGCCTGGAGTAATGTCTTATGATGAGAGGGGAGTGGGGGCTATTAATAATGCTGAGCCAATTTGGATGCTTTTAATAATGATGAGAATTACTGTTATGATCTATGGAGCACTTATTTTCTGTCAGCCACTTCCGAATAGCTTCCCACTATGTTTTTCTAAGGTCTTTTTCAACCTCACAATGATTTTAGGAAGTGGATACTTATTAACTTCATCATATAAATGAGAGAGTCAAGCCCCAGGAGGACTGAATACCGTTTTAATTCCTCACATCTGGGAAGCTTTACTGGTCAGCTTTTTGTTGCTGGGACACGGTACCTACCACCCTCTACTTAAGGGAAGAGAGCTTCAGTTAGGGTCATGGTTCCAGACTGCCATTAGCTGCCTCAAGGCAAGAACATTGTGGTGAAAGAGTGGAGAGAAGCTGCTCAGCTTATGGCTTTCAGGAACAAGAGCGGGGAAATCGCAGCAAAGCCCAGGTCCAGGGACCAGATACAATGCTGAAGAGTATGCTCCAGAATCCACCCAGACCCAGACAGAAATGCCCCTCATCAATTCTCTTGATGGCTCCCAAGGCAATCAAGTTGCCAACTCAGCTTAATTGTCACAACAGTAGCATGCCAGAGCTGGGTCTGACTCCCAAGCTAACGCTCTCATCTGTGCACTGAACCACACTCCTGTTACTCATGTACACATCTACTATCTCCTTCCATATGTGCCTACATCTATATCTACCTCTGGATCATCTGCATCAATGTCATATTTAATACAAAACAATGGTAAAGTAAGTTAAAACTTATAACCCTGTAAATAAGAGAATAAGGCCAAAGGAAATATCTAGAAACCGTAACTTTCAGTAGAATGATAACTATTTGGGGCTTCAAATATGAATTTGAGACTCTTGGTGTGGAAGGGAACAGAACAATATGATCACTCGCAGTGCTCATAAGCTAAAAGTGTCCATTATGGAAAGTTTCGTAGACAGTTTATGTGATGGCTTTAAGGAAAAGCAGCAGGACGATGGAGAAAAATACGTTCATCACCAATGATTCTAGAACACAGGCACCTGCTTCTCTGGGATAGTTAGCAGAGGCTTTCAAATTACATCTATGCTGGTTTTGGATCAGCTTCCTGGGGGATACGGCCTTCTGTTGAGAAATCTGCCATCATGCCTGTCACCAATGAGACCATGCTAACGCATGTGTATGGATGAGAGTCTCTCAGGTGTGTTGGAAGGCGAAAAGGCTGAAGAACATCTGTTGTACATAGAGGGAGAAGCAGGAATCCTTTACTCATACGTGTATACTAAAAACAGTTCAGTATATGTGGTACAGCTTGTGTCCCGAGGTTTCCCCATAGCCTCTCGCCTTTACCGGGGGGAGGGGGGTTCCAATCGGAGGTGGCTGGATCTAGTTTGTGATTGCGTCACGGTCCAATGCTGGGATATCAGGTGCTATAGCTGCCCTTGCCCTGGCTCAGCCAACTACATCCAGCATTCAATACAGGGAACAGAAAGAGTCTTCTCTCTGTCTGTCTGTCTGCCTGCCTGTCTGTCTGTCTGTGTCTGTCTGTCTGTCTGTCTCTCTCTCTCTGTCTCTCTCTCTCCTCTCTCTCTCCCCCCTCTGACCTGCTTTTGCTGTCTTCTGCTGCTATGAACAGGTGCTCCCGTGCCATGTGCCACCCTGCCTCAGAGCCAGCCGATTATGGACTGAAACCACCACACACTGTGAGCTGAATAAACCCTTTCTCTTTCTCTTTGAGTGTTGGATATTTTGTTTCAGCAACAAGCAAAAAGTAACTGAGACAATGCGTCATATTCAAAAGTTAGATGAAACAGAAATGAACTGCATTATTACGTTGGGAGAATGGGTGAAAATTAGGTATTACTGCACCTCAGACACTGTTAACTTTACACTTATTATTCGATTTAGTAAAAATCAAAATTTGAAAAGTAGCAGTAACACTCATTTTGCAGTTGAGGAGATGAGCTCACAGTGACTAAAAACTTGCTCAAGGCATCCAACTACTCTTGCAGGATGTAAGGGAAACAGGAGCACCTTACTCAGGGAACCAGCTCACCTGATCACTTTGAAACAGCGAAGCAAAGGACAGGGGAGAGGTTCCAGCTTTCATGCACTTGGTCAAGGGAGCTGGTCCTGGGCACGGAACTCCTGGGTGGGCAGGAGGAGAACAAAGGCTGCTTGGCAGGCTGGGACAGTTTTGCCTCTTGGTGTCCCTGCTTGGACATAGTAGGATGCTATGGGACCTGGTGGTTATAAAATTTCACTCAGAAGGACAAAAGCTACTACTTCACTACAAAGTTCTAGGATAGAAAGAAACGCATGTGCATTCTGGATCAAAGCCAGTTTCCTTCCATGAGCGTCAGTGCCCCTGGAGCACAAGTAAGAAGGAAAATAAAAATAACTAATTAAAATATGCTCTCCAGGAGCTTATGGACTAAGTATGGGATGAAGACAATATTAAAAATAATACAAAATGCCCAAAGGCTGAAGGAATTTGTTTTGGTAGACCTGAGGTTTAGTTTTAAGGAAGTTGCAGAAGCATCGTCAGCCTTTGAGCAGAGTTGAAAAGAATGGCTAAGACTCTGACAGACACTCCTGCATGTGGGACGTTGCTGGAGAAGGCTGAGTCTTCTGCCTGGCATTTTCAGAGGCCTCAAATTACTGTAACTTACCTGGAAAAGCTTTGGTTTAAACCAAGAAAGGAGCTAACTTGGGTCAGAGGTGAGGTCTGAAGTACAAGCACATTCTTGAATGGATGTCTCTGAAATTCCATACCCTACCTTACATTCTTAGCATAACAAAAGAATCCAAGAATGCTTAGCAGAGGGATTCTGATATGTGAAATTCCATCAGCTGGTCTAGTAGTCTAAGACCTCAAACATGAAAGGGGGATTGTGAAGGAGTGGTCAGCAGAATTGGGTCTTTGGATCCCATGCTCCTTCTTCCTTCTTCCTTCTCTCCTACACATAATCATTCCACTGTGGCAAAACCAGACCCTTCCTAGTGACTTGAGTGTCATCTGATGGAAATTCAAGGGTTTTTTTTTTTGTTTGTTTTGTTCTGCAAGTCCAATAATCCAAATGGATGAAAATGAGGGCTTATTTTGCTCACAATAAGACTTCTTTCATGTATTTCTGATTAGAGATTCATGATTTGGACCCAAAAGCTGAAGTGTGTGACGCTGACATGCAGAGATCATGGATGAGAAACAGGGTGGTCACAACTAGTGGTGGACCTGGAGGCTCAGGGGGATGAAACAGAAGCCCACTTTTGGGCTTACTCTTCTATTTTTTACTCCTAAATTTTCTGAAAGGCTTGGCTTAGAGATAAATGCTCAATAAGTTTGCCAATAAGCCTACCTAAGTATATCAACCTTTACCCAACATGGTAAATGCACATAAGAGAAATTGCTTCAGAACAGATTTAAACTCTGCCCAGAAATGCCTGTATATCTCATGGCTGTTTCAGAAGACATCTGAACTGTCCTAAATTTCTGAGCTGTGCTCCTATTGTGAGGTTTTGCCACCTCACCCATCCCTACCCACTATGACATACTGCCCAGCCAGCCAGATATAAAAGGCCGCGCTGCGCGTGTTGGGCTCAGTCAGAGAGGCAGCGCCTTTTTGAAGCACCTGACTTTGAGTTGGGAATCTCTTCTTGCAGTAGAAGAAATCTCAGTTGAGAAAAGCCAGGTGAGTTTCAGAGGGTATGATTTGGATTCCTTGGGTGTAAAAAGAGGAGAAAGAAAATACAGGCAATGTGATGGAATGAGAAGGTGGGAGGAGAAATTGAAAAAGGAATTAAAATGAGAAAGTTTCAATACTCAGACAAAAGGAGAGAAGACAAAAGGCGAAAATAGAAAAGAGTTGTATTTTTTTTTCTTTTAAATGGGGCTTTGTTCTGAACTTTAGAGTTGGCACAATGGCATCGCAAAGAAGATGCCATCTTTGGAAACTTAGTTTGTGTCTTCATTGGTAGCATTGTTTGTTGCTCATGATGCAGTTTCAGGACCAACTCAGCCTGTTACATCTGGAGTTTAATGGAAGGTGGGAGGGCAACACACTAATAGAAATCCAACAGCCAGTTTTGGTAACTCTTACTCTTCTAAATTTTTTTTCTGTTTCCTTAAAGGTTTGGGTTAGTAATAAATTCTCAGTAAGTTTGTCAGAATTTAGACATGAGAACTTTTAACACTTCACTCAACAGGTCAAATACATATAAGGAAAGGAAAAGTTGGCCAAACAGTAAAATTTCAGGGAAAAAAAATCCTTTATGTTTATTTATGTGGTGTTAAGCTAGTCCTATTAGTGATATTTAGCTTTTGTAAAGTATTGCAGTTAATACTGGAATGTGAGTGTGGAAGTTTTTGCTTTTTTCTTGGCTGTTTTGTCTAACTGGAGGGTCTAAAGGTGGCCTGTTCCTTCCTAGGCAAGCACTATGTTAGATGATATGGCCTTTGTTTCTGTGACACATATTTGTATTACTATTTTAGGAAATTTACAATGGAAGACGAACAAAACCTGATGGGTGATATGTAAGTAATGCGAACAACCAGGGCATTCAGGAGGGGCTAGGGCATTAGGGGCTGTCTCCAGAATCCAGCCAGGAGGGGGACCTCAGTTGTGTAGGAAAGCATCTCCCTTAGCTTAGGAAAGTTTCCAAGGGTGAAATAACTTCAGCCTCAGTTCTCTGTACTTCAAGAGAATATAATGGAGTTTTCAGGGACAGTCAATGTCTCACACAGTGAACTGATTTTTGTGAGGAAAAGATCCATTTTCCCCTTGTCTTCTAATCAGTCTAGATTTCTGCCTGCCTGTCTGATTTTTCCTTCTTTAAATATTTTATGGGTATTGTTTAGATTCCCCATACTTCATATAAAATTTTTGAAAATAAGATTATTCATGTGAAAAAACTTTTCTTCATGTAAGAAACTTTTCTTCATAATGTGGGGGAGCTTGAGTGGATTTCACTTGAAATATTCAGAACTATAATGTGAGGGCTGGAGGGTACAATTGAGGGGTAGAGTTTACCTAGCACACATGCGCTTCTAGGTTCACCCTCTAGCGTCAAAAAAACTAAATTTTTAAAAATGTGCTTTGACTCTAAGAATTTACCTCATTCAAAAACACTTTACATAAATTCATTATGAAAAAGTCACTCTGGTTAGGCATGTTTGTAACAGAAGAAGAGCTGAAATAAAAATCTTAGGGCTCGCGTGTTTTTCTGTCCTGGCTTTAGTCATACTATTTTTTCCTCTAGGCTAATGATGGAAATAGCAAATTTAGAAGCCACAAAACAGAACCTCGACCGTCTGAACTCAGACCTTGAAAAGGATCTACAGACACTGGATGAGGCAAATGAGGCTCTTCTTAGAAAAATTCAAGAGAAAGAAAAAACTATTCAAAGGTTAGACTCCTTACCTGGCGGTCCTGGCCTTGGAATAGAAAAAAAGTGGGAGGAGGGTCTATTTCCCTGATGGCACGTCTTAGCCTGTGTAAATCCTGAAATATTGACAGAATTTTGTTTTAAAATCTCCACATTAGGTTTTTACCATCATCACAGTGAACAATCACTCTGCTCCCTGAAACTTTGGTAGTAGCTTCTGAGGTGAGGGCCTTAGCAACTTCCTTGGGGCTAAACTCTACCTGAGTGACTCTATTTTTCAGCCTGGAAAAGGATCTTGCCAAATCGGCTGAAAAGGATGAGGAGAAGGAGGAGTTGAACCAGATCATATCTGAGAAGGAAGAAGTCCTGAAGGACTTGGAAGTGGAGACAGCAAAGCTGGTAAGGAGGCTTCTGTAAAGGATTGTCCACCTGTAGAAAGCAGACCTGTTTTAGAGTTCTTTGAGAATGAAGTGCTCCACCTGGGGCTGAGGCTTGAATTTGTCTCAAATTCTCCATGTAGGGTCAGAGCACATTTATATGTGGTTCCCTTGTCCTCAGATATTATTTCAGTGGGTTATCAAAATAAAACCACATTTGTTCTTTTTACTTCCCCTTTCCTACAGGAAAAAAGGAATATTAATCTAAAGAAGAATGTGGGGGAGCTTGAGGAGAAGGTAAGAGAAGCCCAGGGTTTGAGATTGCTAGGATCTCTTTATAACACAAAGTATGGTGGAGTGGGCTGGGATCATATGAGGGTCCCATGGACACTCAGCGTGAGGAAATGCCTTGTGTGCAACAAGAAGGGCTGTTCTCCACACCCCAAAGTCTACATTGAAGCAAGGGTCATTTCTTAGGAATCCCAATATGTTCCACTCAGAAAAAGGGGACAATGGGAAAACTCTGTGCACTCTGTTACCCATCACCTTGTGAACCTTTGAAAAAGTAATGACTAATGCCAGCATTTGTCTTCTGAGAATTGTAGATTGTGGTGACAGGGCTAATGGATGACAGATAATAAAAAAAAAAATTTAAAAAAGGATGACACAGAGAGAGAAAACGTGTCCCTCCTTCCATAGCCCCTCCATGTCATCCTCTGCTTCCTCTCTCATCATTGTCCTCTCCATCTACTCTGGCTTCCAGTAGCTATCGAAACAGAAAGGGCTGTCCAGCTAGAGTGGGGCCAGGCAGCTTTTGTGTCAGGACCTGAACTGAATTAGTAACTGCTTTTCTGTAACCCAAATGCCTGAGTCTGCCACTATCCTGGGCTTATATGTGTTATTGTATGTAGCTTACCAAGTCTCATGGTTTGGGGAATGATTTTTCAGATTTCAAGAGGGTTTAAGAATGTTGGCCCTACTAAAGAAATGCTGAAGCAGACTTTGGAAGAACTTAAGGTGAGTAGAACAGCATCTAGAGGTTTTCTGGGAGATACAAGCATTTTAACAAGCAGTTCTCAGGTAAGAACTGCTTTCAAGGGCCTTCCTGGGCACATCTGTGTGGTTAACAAAGGTAAGCTGATGCCCTTGGTCCCTCTTCCTGATGACACGCAGGACCTTTATGATGTAGCCAGGAGCAGAGATGAGTGCAGTGCCATCAAGAGGAGAGAACTGCTCAGAGCGCTTGGCATCCACAGTTAAAACATATGTTCTTAAATGTTCACTGGGGTCTTCCTTCAAGAAGTTCATAATACATGAGGACACACAAATATGGACGTTTAAGTAGGAAATGCTAACCTCCAATTTGTATGTCTGTGTGCTCAACTGATGTTCCAAGCTTTGGCTCATAGGCCAAGTTAAGTTCTATTGTTAAATTTTATTTTATTGGGATTTTTTTTTTTGTAAGCGCAAAGCAAACCAATGAAGATAAATTTTTGACTCAATGTCTTAAAATGGCACATAGTAGATACAGTGATTAGTTGATGAATGAATGAACTGGACTCCCACTAGGGGGCAAGAACTCTACTGGAAAGCCTTAGATTTATGTGGCAAATATGGTCACTTGGTCAGGGCCACCATATAAGGACCCTACTGCCCTATGTTGTTTTCTAAAAAACAGCACTGATATTTCTGTTTTGGGTCCCTTTGTGGTTCAGAGGGCATGTGTACTGTACTAAACTTGACTGAGAATAATAGTCCAGGGAGCTTTTATCAGTCCATCCATAGGATGATGGGAGAAGGGAGAATGGTGAGCCTGCCTGGGGAGTGAGCCTACTCAGGTGTAAATGTGGGCTCTGCACTGTGCAACTTACCTAAGGTACATACTTCTCTGTGTCTGTTTCTACATTTGAAAAATGGGGGTGATAACCATGCCCACTCTAGATGAAAATATGTTCTCAGCACATAAGAGCCTTTCTTACCAAGCTCTCTGCTGGCCAGGGGAGGGTGATTATATCATATTTGCTTCACACAGAAGAATGTTACTAGCTTCCTTTTTCCTTATTGCCTTCTTTAGGCAAAGCTACAACAGTCAACAGAGGCCTGTGCAAAGCAAGAAGAGGAAATGGCCAAGGTAGAACAGTGTCCCTTCCAATAAGGGTTCCCAGGGTAGAAGGGAATATCAAAACAAACACATGTCAGGGGAGCAAAACCACTCCAGTAACAAATGACTTACTGAGCTGAATGCAGATGAAGAAAGTTTTATTAAATGTAGTGAGCTTACCACTGTTATGGTTCTCTAATCTCATAAACCATTGTTGAACCCTAAAGTTCATTGGCTCATAACATTCCAAAGTGTGCTAGGGCACAGACAACCTAGGCAAACCATCTCCTTTGCTCAGTTAGACCCTGTGGGTGAGTGATGATGTCACCTCTTTGTGAGATGGTTGTTGCTAGGTAACCAACCAAATGTTTTCTGTGCCAGTTAGGTTTTTCAAGGAGCAGCCTAGGCTTGGTTCTGATTTAACACATGACATTTGCTAATTCTTTTCCCTAGGTGAAGAATGACTATGAATTTATTCGAGAGCGTTGTGAAGACCAGGTCCATTGCATAAAGGTAGACACTTCAGAGTGGAAGCAGAATTTCCCCAAAGCCATGAGATTATTGATTTCTCATCAGGCTAGGATTTGCCTACATGGAAAATGCTTTCTGTGCAACAGTCAGCAACAAAAACAGATATTAGTCTGTTCCAGGCACTGTGCTAAGCACTGGCATACAGCACTTTCCTCAATTTTCCCAGAAATTATGTGACTAATTCTTTTGTTAACTTTTGTTTTTGATGAGGTTAAATTGCTATGACAGACAGGCCCTGCCAAATAGCTCAGCAGATTAAAAGACCTGCTTAGGCAAACCCAGCAGCTGGGGTTTGATCCCCAGAGTGCCATGCAGACGTGCTGAGATGGCAATTGAGACTGGACATGGTGGTGCATGCCTGTAATCCTAGCTTTTGGGAGGCTGAGCACAGGCTAATCGCTACGAGTCAATCTATGTAGTGAGACCCTATAGACCCTGTACTAAAATACAAAACAAACAAAAACAATTATGACAGAGAGGACACTGAGATTGGGAATTGGGTAACACTCAAGTGTGGAGGACTTCCTAGGCAATTGTCTTTGAAAGAGGAGCAGTTGTCTCTATTTTGGCTGAGCCTGACCTTATTTCCATGTATTGATATGTACAGAGCTCGCTAGGACTTTTTTCTTTATCCCTTCAATTGACTTTAAGCAGTGCTGATGGTAGTCTTTGAAGTTGGCTGCAGGCGTGTCTCCCCCCAGAACCCCTACCCATTGTTTTCCCTCATGTGAGCTTGGAAGAAGAGCCAATGCTCTACAGATTGAGCCTATCGTGAGAGGCTATGACTTCCTGGGACTTGAAAGATTTCACATCAGAGCTGAAGGACCCCACAACATTAGATACTGAGTTGTGTAATGCAGATTGCTCTTTCTGCATACCTTTCTCTCTGCATATTGCAGAGGTGAATATGGGCCTCCAACCTCCTAGCCCAGCTCACAGCACTGACGTACTTCCTACAATGCTCACAGCCACTGACCCTCAAACTACTCCCTTCTTCACACATGAATACAATCCAGGTCCTGGGTAAAGGCCACTGTTGGGGATAGCCATCACTGTGGCCAGGCCCAGGACCCCCTTAACTCCCCACCATATTGGATATATTATTGTGTCCTTATTTACATCATGGGTTGCAATAGAAGTGGTAGATTGGAATTGACTCACTAGAATTGCAGTAGCTCTTCATGGAATTACAAAAATAAACTTCTTGAACTGTAATGAAGACAGGAAAGGGCTTTCCACAGGGGACATAGCGTACATCAGAGCTGGAGGGTGAATAGGAGCAGAATTCAGAGTTTTGATGATGTGCATCCACTCATCCATTCTCTTAACTTTTTATTTGGACATCTTTGTATACACTTTGGTATATACCATTTAGAAGATTTGGAGTTGCTGGTAAATGCAAAGTATTTTCTACCAAAGGCATTCTTGTTAATGATGTTTTTCTTCACATGGAAAGTTGTACCAGGAAGCTCTGAGGAGACTGGAAAAGGAAAAGGAAGTGCTGATGCTTAACAAAGAACTGTAAGTCGGAAAAGCAACCTCTCTAGTGGGCTGAGGTAAAGCCACCACACTAAAGGAACATCTGGAGAATATGAACTCATTTCTCCATGGTTCCCTCTTCTCTTCAATTTCCCTGCTCAATCATAGTAGCTCTGATGGCCTTTGCATCCTCAACCAATTGCTGCTGGCATTTGCTTTGCGGACTCTAGAGCCCTGCACCACGGTGGCAAATTGTCTCTGGGGAAAAGCCTTGAGTGCACAAGGGGCTCACTCACCTTCTTGTACTTTTCTTGGCTCAGGGTTTAGCATTTGGACTTCTGGCCTCATTCTCCAGGGTATTCTAGCAGCTGCTGTGTGTTTTGCCTATTTTTCATAGTTGCTTTTGGAGGTGGGCTGGTACATGACACAAGCTCCTCCTGCTCAGGAATAACCAGAAATCTCTGTCACTTCTCCCTTTTCTCCTTTATTTGATGATTACTAAAAGAAATTCTCATGAACACTCTTAGTTTTTGTTGGATTTGAATCACAGCAGAAAATAAACCTAAACTATAAAACATAAAGCAGAACAAATGAAGAATGATCATAAGACATTGGAGAATGAATAAAAAGTAGGGAGAATGGCAGTAGGTGGTGTCCCCCACTTTGTAGCTTCTAATCTTAGGGCAGACCAAACTTAGTATGAAGAGGCAGCCAAAATACCTAGAGGAGTTCTGTCAACTTTCTGGGGGAAGAAAATGGCTAAAATAGAGGCTGTAATTCAGAACAGCCAAAGATGCTGGGAAGAAATTAGAGGGCCAAATCAGCCCAGCTGAGAACATATAACCTGGACTGACGTTCGAGCTGCCACCTAGAGACAAACTTTGGAGTCTGAATCCAGCAGTAAGCTAGCACCAGGCTTTCTCCCATCACACTATCTCTCATTTGAGGATGGATCCTATTCTTGCAGTTTCTATGAATTGTGAATTGTAAATGTCAAGCTTTGTGAATGTATCAAGAATGCAGGAAATTAATCATACATGTTGCATGACTTAGAAAAGCATCTTTTGTCAGCTTTTCGGTTGTTGTTATGTGATTCTTAGCGCTGTTCTTTTTCACCCAGAGCCAAAGCCCAGAAGAATTCTTCCCAAGTGGTGAAGCCTGGGTCAGTTCTGGTGGAGACCATTCAAAGAAATATGGTAAGTCTTACTTGTCCAAAATTTGGGTTTCCTCTAGCTCTTCTTCTTTTCTTTTTAATAACCCTAGAATTAGCAAATTATTTGGTGTCTTGCCGCAATCATTGCAGCTAAGCAGTGTGGAGAGAGGGGTCAAACCTGGCCAGCCTGGCCCTGGGGGCTCTGCTTATGGCCTCCCTTCTATTCTGCCTCTGTGAGTACTTGGAGAGCTACAGCTTTGGTTTTTATTACTTCCACAGGAGAAGAATATAATTAAGAAACAGAAGAGGTTCTCAGTTTTTGGGTAAGTGACAGAATCTTGATTTTGACTTAGTCTGAGTTACAGTCACTCTGCAGGTGACCTGGTAAGGGTGAAAGGAGAATAAGTTTACCCTGGACACAGAAAATATTGAGCAGCCCCAGATTGCTATAACACAAGGTTACAGCACCAGAATTGCAATGTTCCAAATAGCTGAGGGAATTAGAATTTCTGATATGTTGAGGATGGAAGCTGCAGTTTGCACTTCACTTTTAATTATTCTTATGGTCTTTGGGATGGCCTTTTTCTACTTCTCAGGTCAAGAACCTAGTAACCTCTGAGAATGGGGTGCATTAATTTTCATGGTTCTTTTAGTGCTAGCTGAGAAATTATAGGCAAATACATTTTGATTTTCTGTGCCTTTTGTTTTTAAATTTTTTAAATGAGATTAACTATGAAGTGTTTCATGTAATATTTTTATTCAAAGCTTCCATTTAGCACATTTCCCCTAAAGATGAAGATTGAAATCCTTTAACCAGTTGTGAGAGCAGATATTTTCCCCCTTGGACACACACACACACACACACACACACACACACACACACACACACTTCATTGTAGTCTGTTTGAACACCTGATGTTTAGCAAAGGTCAGCCATTGTCACTTTAATGTTATAGTAACAGCGGCTCAATATGACTTCAAATTCTAACCCTGCTTACTGTAGAAGACTGGAAGAGGGCCAATGGTGATGAGGTGCTCTAGTGTGACAATTGTGAACTTTTCCTAGTAACCCCAAAGCCTAGCAATCCACCATCTTTTGCTCCTTCCCCTTTTCTACATGAATATCTATTCTGTTACAGGACAGCTCCTTTTCTGTGTTGACCTACCCGCTACCCTTACCCTCTTTATCCCCATATCCTACTTTCTTCCATCAGTTTTGTCTGAAGAAACCCATTCTCCAGCCACGTACGAATATGCAGTTCAGCTCTCATTGCTTGGCTGTGGGCCGGCCCTCGCTCACGTGCTAATAATGAATGTCTCTCTGCAGATTTTTCCGGTGGATCTTCTTTATGATCGTGATCTTCATTGAGCTGCTGAGTTACCTGTTTTTCTACTTGCAATACGTAAACCCTGACCTTATTGTGGATACCCTGCCCCTGCTGATGAGCAGGAGTGACCTGGGCAGGCTGAGAAACTTCTTATCTCCCCTCCTCACTCTTGAGTCAGACGGCCTCCTCCCTCACTAGTCTGAATGTGGCCAAAGCCTTCGCATGGGGGCATGGGCCTGGAAAGAAGCAGCAGCCTATGATGCAAGAGCTGCTACTTCACATCTGATCTTTTCTGTCCATTTCTTCTCTCATTCTCCTTTCGGAGTGTTTCTATTTCAAGTAAACAATATGTTTGCCCAGAGTCTACTGTGTTGGTCTGTGAATCCTGGGGCACTGCTATGCACTCAGGTTCTACCCTGTATTGTTGAGCCAAAATAATAAAAAAACTCTCCTAGGACTTCATTCACTTTCTTTCTTTATTTATTTTTGTGTATTTGGTACAGGGTCTCATTACATAGCTCAGACTAGTAGTGATTCTCCTGTTTTCAGCCTCCCCAGCACTGGATTACAGGTGTGCGTCACCACACCCAGACTTGATCATTGGCTCAGCATGGGGCCGGGGGGACTGGTGCAGCATGTGGTGCTGGAGATCAAATCCTGGTTCCTGCTCTTGCCTAAGCAGGTGCTTAGTCTGCTGAGTTATCTCACCAGCCCCCATGCTGTGTTTTATTTAAGGGAAAAAAATCATCTGTTTATTTGTAAAATCTTTCAGTTCCTTTGGGGTGTGCATGAGATGTACAGGAATAAGTAGCTACTAAGGTGGATACAAAGCTCACGTTATTCTATTTGACATCGCGCTCTCCTTATACCTTTGTAAATTATGTGGCTTGCAGAAGTGGGATGTGCTGGGAGGCTGACCATTTTCTTGCCTGCATGTAGTCACTCATTCTGAAAAGAAAATCACTTCTAATTCAATTGTGAATAGACTGTAAAATCAGAAAGAGCTTCAGAAAGTGTAAAATCAGAAATGTAAGAGTCCTTACCCTGTCAGGAAGCAAGGTACACAGCACAAGGTAGGAAGCAGGCAGTAGGCAGGTGGAGCCCCCAGTGTCCACAGCTGCTCACCACCACTCTCTCCTTACTGCCTGAGCCCCATCTCCTGGGAAATCAGCAGTGGTAGTAGGTGCTTGTAGGGGTGCAAGCCTCGAACACAGAGGGATCTACATTTCTTGCTTCTCAAATCTCCTCTTATATCCTCACCACCCTGTCTCTGGAAAATCTTTTTCCACGAAACTGATGTCTTACATGGAAAAGGTTGGGAACTGCTGCTGCCTTAGATATAGCCAAACACCTTGTTATTCAAATTCCAACTCCAATGTCATCATCCTCAGAAGCTCTTCTGTTCCATCCTGACTTCTTCTGAATGCTCCTAGTGCCTTCTCTGGACTTTCTGTCTGCCATGACAGTGCAGCCATTGGAGTCCTGAGGGGGGCAACTAGAAATTAAGAAAAAAAAAACTATAGACACATACTAAAGGAAATCAGGGACTAGGGGGGGACCTGACCTGTCTGATGGAAAGGCAGTGACAACACAATATGCTCTCTCTCTTTTTTAAAAAATGTATTTAATACAGGTCTCACTACACAGATTGTACTCATAGTGATCCTTCCTGTTTTTCAGCCTCCTAAGTGCTGAGATTACAGGCATGCATCACCAATCCCAGTCTCCATCACCATCTCTGTGCACCCTGGGGCCAGGGCTGGCACAGTAGGTGGGGGAAGCATCTGCCTGAGTAGGCACTTTAGTCTGGTGAGCTATCTGGCCAGCCCTTGCCTCTTTATTTATACATTGCAAAAAGCAGGGAAGCACACTACAGAGTCAAAGGTGCAAGACAGTGTTTTGGTGAGATCACTGAAAATGAAGCGTTCTCAAAGCTCTCTGTGCTGCAGTTCCCAGGGAAGAGCATCAAATCTCTTACAGTAACTCAGCTGATGTGGCTTCTAGACTACATGTTGTTTAAGCTTTTCAATTCTACTCCCAATAACTTCCACACATGGCTCAACTCTGGAGCTTGGTGCTCTCAGAGCCGGTCTGGCTGCAGCCCTGAAGGTGTGACCAATCTCCAGTTCAGCCACTCCTCACATCTACCCTTTTCTCTTCTGCCTTATGGTATTATTGCAATATTCTTTGACTTTGGGACTAATTTCACCTAATTTATGTCATCTCACAGAGTGCCTTAGCATGGGGACTTTATAAAGTAAGATTTAGTGAAACAGGGAGTGATTTCATTGATAACTTCTGTGCCTTTCCCAAAGTATCTGAAAGATGACAACTAAAACCATTAGCCTCGACCCTGTATTGTGAAATGCCATACTTTTGCAGGACAGCTGGCAAAGTGTTGGCAGTGCAGAATGAAGAGAGAGATGGGGCACAAAGTACAGGGTCACCTGGTCACACCTGTCTCCGTAGTTACAGAAGCTGAAGTGGTGCGGGCACCTTTCTGGGCAGCTCCTTCCTCCCTGAACTTTCTCATGCTTTGCTTTCAAGTGACCTTTTCTTTTGTAGGGACCATTCTAGATACAGGTTGTAACTGAATTTTCCTTGGATAAGATGAAAGTAGAAGAAACACTACATGTTTATTTTGGCTTCAGACACAGCTTTGTCCTAAATTTTCTTAATGGGGTCTGAGGAGGAAAACAACAAATAATATAGAATAAAGCTCACACACAATGAAAGTAAAATCAACAGTACCCTCTTGTGGCCAAATGAAAGCTCTCCGCATTTCAGCAGGTTTCAGCAAAGGAGTTGTTAGCAATTTGATTAGGAAAGATGGATTAGGTATCAGTCCTGGGAAATTCTCTCTACACCTTCTAATAATTCCAACAGCATTCATTCATTCATTCATTCATTCATTCATTCATTCATTCATTCTTCAGCAAATATTTATTGAGCATATTCCTTCAGTTAGACAGTATGATGATGGCACTGAATAAAACAAAACTGCTCACATTGTAGTTAGAGGCAGACAATGATAGGTTATGGCCCTGGTATGAATTGCTGAATCCTTATGGGAGTCACCTAATATGGTAGAAACCCTTAAAACAACAGCCATCTTCCCCAAGACCACTTCTCCCTTCCTCTCCAACCCAGCCCAGGGTACAATTTTCTTTCACCCCCACTGCCTCAGAGAAGACCTCAATCAGTTCCTAAGATATATCCAAACATCCCCTTAAAACTCCACCCCTGGCTTTTTTAGAAGGCCATAAAAGCCTCAGCATCTCTTTGTTCCAATCCAGAGAATCCCTTATCTTTCCCAGATTCAGTCCATGTACTCAAAAATAATAAAATAATAAGGCCCCTTTCCCTTTTTCCTTCTGCCTGTTTCTGCTGTTGAAAACCTATCATTTTGGTGCCTTGTGACGTGGATAGATAGGCAGCATATGAGGCTCCTGGGGGCCAAAGCCCCATCCTGAGCCTCCTATCTATCGACCCAGCTTCTTCCTTTGGGATCTACCTATTTGCTGTTGCTAGCTTAAATTCAACACTGGTCCACCTCCCATCTCACAAGTAGGCTGAGCCCACTGGCTTTTGGTTCTCTCACTCAGGGCAATTGTTCTCTCATTTTTTTTAGTCTTGCTTTTAGCCTCATGTGTATACCCTTCCCTCCAAACATTCCTTTGCCATCTTTGGAAATTCTTAGGGCCCGTGTCTGGAATCTAGACATTCCTGGTAACTACTCCCCCAAGAAATCCCCCTGGAGCTCCCCATGATGGCTGGACGGGCCAAGGTTTGGGGACTTGCTTTTCACCCTTCTTGGCTTTGACAGTTGGTGATGACCCAGGCTTTGAAGTCTGCTCAGCCTTAATCCCATTACTCTGGAAATTACTCGTTGGCCACAATATAAGCTCAATGGTAAAACCCAGGGGCCTATAGAAAAAACTTTTGACCCACTAATGCTCCAAAGTTTGGAAAACTTCTGTCACCACACTTTCAAATGACACACACACACAAAAAGAATCCCCTATAGTTGGGCCTTTTTCTCTCTGAAGACACATCCTTCTCTCACTCAACAGTATAATGAAGCCCAGATACTCTTAGCTCACACCAATCCGCAGGGGCCACTCCCTCCACTTCCTCAGATTCTCTAGAAGATGCTCCTGCAGTCTTCACTCCCCCTCCCGCTAGCCCTCCAGCCACAGCTTGTCAGTCTCCTCAGCTGGGGACTCTTGAGCTTCCAGCCTCAACGTCCCTCCTTTCCCCCACTATGGCCTCTCACCCCTCTGTTGCTTCCTCACCCCCATCTCTCACTTCACAGTCCCTTAAACCAAAGACAGCTCCCCCAACTAACAATCTCCCTTTGTCAGATCAGATTCCCCTGCACCCCATCCCTGCTGCAGCCACCGCTGCCACAAGCCCTTACTGAAGCTGCCACCATCTGCTGCTGCTACAGCCGCCCCCCACCCCCACTCTTCCACAGCTGTGGCTAATTCACCTTTTAACCTCTTAACTTTCAGGGACTACAGAGAGACCTTACACTCTTACTTCCCTCTCCCCTAGTTTCCTCTGATCCCACAATCCTCACATTCCTCATTTTCCCTCCAGTTACAACCACAGTAATTTGAGGCCCAATCCAAAAACAATAACACATTTTTCCCTATCAGCATGTGCCCCTCCCTCTGCTATCCATAAAGCTAAATACAACAGCCCACCTAGCAGGTGAGCACACTGCCCTTTCCAATGAAATCTGCTGCTCACCTCCTCCTGCCCTCGCTTCCCAGCCCCTCAGCCACCTCTGCAGGCAGTCTCCTGTTACAGCCACAAGAAACAGCACAGCTTCCCTTAAGACACCCTTAGTGCCAGTCTGCAAGTCCAAAACTTGTGCATTGTCGGGGCTCCTCTATTGTACTGTGCTAATCCTTATACTCTGCTCAGTTTGCTTGCTCCCCCTCAAACCTGACACACTACAGTAGACCTAAAAAATTATTAACTATAAACAAGAGATTTTGACTTTTTTCCAAATTTCTTTTATAAGAGATTTTTGCTAATTGACTTACAAAAGTTTGAACTGGTCTTTCATAATTATAAACTTTAAAAAAGTCATCATAATTTAACTTGGCCAGAAATCTATTTGAGTGTACTCTCATTTTATAAAGATGTCTGTGTATCCTGTGTATGTTTTATTTTTATGTCATTCTGTAAACAGCTGTTCTTTTTTTTTTTTTTTTTGATCTCTAAAATATAGAATTAAAAGCATGTTTTCTCCTGAGTTACCAGCTGGTCTTAATTGATATA